GTACCCCGTCCACAGTCAGTGCATCAAATTCAGATCGGCTAAATTGGCCATTTCCAAGCAGTCCAAGCTCGATCGTAATCAGTTTAAACCAGTTTTTAACTAGTTTTACGTCGTTCCCAAAACGTCCAAACCATTCCAACTAGTTCACAACATGTTGTAACTAGTTTGTAAGTTTGTAGTTCCTTGGGCGTTCGAACGCGCCCATATAGGCCCAATGGCTATGAAAACCCAGCGCGTTCTTGCCATTCCTCATTTCCGTTCAATTACTCTTATTGCTGATATTATTGATGCTCGACGTCACGTTGTAACACGTTCCTAGTAGGACCTAAGTACGGCAATTCTGTTCGTAGTACGTACATCTCGTTTTAAGTACGTCGTCACTCCGTCTAAATGCTGGACAGGGAAAATTTTGAACAGGCTCAAAGTTCTGGAGCACACTTCCCGTCCCAGCCAGTCCGAGCCCGTCCATAAAGTTTTTACACAAATCGTTAACAGTTGCTACTACACCTTTCACAGTTTGAGCCCGTTTGGCAACATTTTACAGAACGTAATGAGCACTAGTTTGGTGTGATTGGGGCTTTACTGTCCAACTCTTTTCCCGTTACATGTCGCAAAGTGAGGAAGTTGGTTTTTTATCAAATGCCAGATATCTTGAAGCCTTTATTGAATATTAGTCTCTCACAAAACATTGTTTTATAACGAGACAAAAGATACGATGCAGAAGCGGAAATCTCATTTTCATATTTCATAAGAATTTTCAATCTTAAAGATATTGTAATTATACAACATATAAACCGTGTAAATAAAAAGTTTTATTAAAGGAATTAAAACATGAAAACTGCAATATTTAAATGCCGGTGCCTTGGGATAAAAAGTTTTCGTTCGAGACCCAAGTCTTCGAAGTGAAAATCAAAAGGAAACGAGATGAATGCCAGCGTAAGACAATTTTTCTTACACTAAAGAATTTTGTCTCTCTCTTTTTTTGTTGATATAATACGAGTCTAGAAATAATTATAATGTGAACGGGAGGATACGTCCTTACTCATAAAAAGGCTTTCTTCCATGTGAATGAGGTATTTTCAAATCTGTCATGAAAACAAAAAAAGAAATACAAGTCCATTATAACTACTAGCGTTCAAAAATTGTGTTTGTAGGCCGATACACGCGTCTATATCATAATCATACAATAATTACAATTATCTCCATCCCCTCTCTTTTCTTCCCCCTTCCCCTACCTCTTTGTCACTATGTCCCTCCACTCTCTCTCTCTCTCTCTCCCTCTCTCTCCCCTTCCTCTCTCTCTCTCTCTCTCTCTCTCACCACGTCAATAATTAAATGCATTTTTACACATCCCTATGAAATAATCTAAAAAGTCGTGTTTGAAAAGACATATTTCAATGAACTATTTTTTAATTGGTTCTCTCTAGGCTAGCGCAGTCTCCATAATGTACACTCAATTTGACATGTTCCTCGTGTTACGTTATAAAGCATTATATACACCCCAAATGCAACCATGCACCTTTTTTTTTTTTTTTGTAAGGCTAAACATTTCCATGGGCTTATAGGGTTATTCCCTTTCACAGACCTTCTCAACAGAATTTTGATTTTCAGTTCAAAATTACTTTTATTTCAATTTTCCGTAGCTACCCCAGATCAGACATTTAAGAATAAGACGGAAAAATAGCCTTAAGATTTAATTTTTGTTGAGCTTTCTTTACTGCCCCTCCAAAATATGCCATGCAAGGTTTGCCTCCATGTGCTAATAATTGAATGCTGACCAACCATCAGCCCCCCCCCCCCCCTCCATAATATTCCTGTTTACAGGCCTGTCCTGAATGAACAACCCATGTGCCATGCAGCGGTTTGTTTAACAAAAATGGAAGCATGAAAGAGAAATCGCCCCCTCCTCTCTCTCCCTAGTAATATCATATATAACATAATTCAATAGTACAAAGTACACTTCAAACACCTTTAACAGTTTGACCATAACAGAAAGTATGTCATGAATAACACTAATACTAATATTTAAAGATGTGTTATAGGCCTACATTGGGTTAAGTTTAAGTGAAATAAAACCCCGGTTTTATCTGACTCAATTAATCAATGTATTATAGCATAATTATTTCTGTTTCCATTTCCATGCATACAGTAATGATAATACCTTCCAGTCATTAACTTTAACCCAGGTATTTCTAATGCCTGGGGATACCTGGGGATAGAGGCAATAGATGCAATTTAGGAAAGGCATAACACTCTCAATGAGTGGAAATTATTATTTGATCACTTAAATGAACTTGCAAAAATGATAATTTCTAGCATTATTGACCCCCGTTTGATACCTCTTTTCAATATTGTAGTATAGTAGTATCTAAATCTAACCTTCACTCGTTGACACACGCAGTTAAAACGCAATAAGTATTTTATATACCTCATACATAGATTGTCATTCACTGATTGGTCAAGACTATATCACATGTCAAGGAGCATTTCGATCTATCAAGTATCATTACGTCAGAGGGGTTGATAGCTACTATCAAACCCTGGGATAGGACCCCTAACCCCTCCCGCGACTTAGTTGCGCAAACAAATTTTTTGAGTTGCTAGGCTACCGCAATCGCGCGGTTACGCGCAGCGCGTAGGAATTCAATACTCTTGCCTTGGACTTGATGTTGGATTTTTCTTATTTGGGTTAGTAAATTCCTCTTGATCTCGTTTCCTGTTTTTAGAGCTAGATCTAGACCTACAGCTAGACCTAATCATGAATCAATAAAAAGGATGAGGTATATAAAACAAATATGGACTGCTCTGTAATCGGATGATGGTGGGAACTACCACTCCCTCGGTGGTGTTCACACCGGCCCTTAATCTATCACCCCCTCGGCTTCGCCTCGGGGGTGATAGAAGGGCCGGTGTAAACACCACCTTGGGAGTGATATTTCCCACCATCATCCTCATGAGCAGTCAATATTTGTATAATAATGCATGGTTAACGCCTTTCCTATTGGATTCTTATAGCGCCCTCGATCGACAGCGTTAGTGTTAAAGTACATGTGTGAGTTTCATGATTACATATGAATTCAGAACAGGTCTTTTTATACCTTTAGAACGTTGTTATAGACTTACTGGATAACTTGATTAGCATGTGTATATACAGTGCGTCCCAGAAAAAACGAAACCGAGAATCATCGATGTTTTATCATAACTTAATCACAATTATAATTTATAAATTACATATATTTGTCAAGCTTAGATCCTCTTCTTTCATTTGATGCAACTTATATGACTCATATTTCAAGCATGAGTGATTAAAACAATTTGAAGAGAGGGTACCAAAAAGTTATTTGGCAGTATCTGAATTTCAAAGAAAAATCACATTTCATTATCTGCCCTTTAATTCATATGACACCTTAATCAGGAAAAAATGAGCCAGGAATAACAAAGTTCTGTTTGTTTAAAGTAATGCTTGCATTTCCACAATTTGATTACACGAATTCGTTTTCACTAGCTCCGTTTCGTTGACGATCAGCCATGCATCAAGTCTTTCGTCTTCTTTGTGCATGGCTGATCGTCAGCGAAACGGGACCAAACGTTTGCAGTTTAATCGGTAACTGATCGTACATCATTCGTAGATCAACTGCTGACTTTTTCTCAACCAACTATCGCCTGGTACATTTGCAATTGGTCTGTGAACTGATGAATTCATTGGGAGACCAAGAAAACCGTTATACGACCAGTTTAACCAGCAGAATTTTTTTTATGCAACAGCTTAAACCTCCAGCCGACTGAAAAAGCATGCAAATAAGACTCTCCAAACATTTTATATTCCAATAAATGACTAAGCAGGGGCGCGTCTACAGGAGGGGGCGGTTTAGGGGGTACCCCCCCCCCCTTGTGCTGCCAAGTTAAAATGTGATTTGCATAGACAATCGCCATCATGGGTCCAGGCCCACACAGTACTGGTAGATGTTAGTAGATGCCAAGAAAACATCACTTATGGGGGTTCAAAATAGCAAAGAAAAATCACCTCGCCGCTGTGCGGCTCACGATGCTCCGTATGTTGGTAGATGCCAGGAAAACAGGAAAACATCACTTATAACGGGGATTCAAAATAGCCAAAATAATCGCCTCCCCGCTTCGCAGCTCGTGTACAATGCTCCGCATCGTCATTGGGTCAACCCCCCCCCCCCCCTCCCCTTGGCAAAAAGCTAGATCCGCCCCTGCTAAGACCCTAAAAATACAATTCTGTCTCAGACTAAAGGAATCCTTAGGCTCAGACGAAATCTCTCCCAACTGAAATTCAAATCTAAAGTCGACATACTGTTAAAACTACGCGATTTTGTTATTATTAATGATTCGTGTTTCACTTTTCATTTTGTATACATATTTTGTAATTTTGTTCTACTTCCATCGTCCATGACCTGGCATCATTAACTTTATTGCTATACCGACAGGTGATATGAAACATTGTATTTAGAAATAAGCGTTCTTTCCTTTATTTTTTTTTCTTCTAAATATCAAGCCATTCTCTTCCTTTTATATCTATATTGTATTTAAACTGATGGCTACAAGCATATCAAGCTCTGAGTTTATGCTGCATCTCGGCTAAATCATGTTTATTTACTTCATGTTGATTATGCATTAGGCATGTAAGTTAGTTTTAATTTTCAATTAAAAAACAACAACTTTTCTTTATGTCATGTACTGTAACAAAAAATATTGTGGAAAAGTGTATCATTGTAAATGTATCGAAACAAAATGTAATCGTCGCATTAATGGACATAACATAAATATGTACGTTCGAAAAAAGATGAGACAAATGATATAGAAATTTTAAAAAATCTAAGTTCAAAAATATAATATATGTTTCAATATAATCAGTTACCTATTTATACGTTTTTTAGTTGAAGACAATATTTGATGTATTTGTAGTAAGGATTGAATTGAATTTTTTTTTTTCAACTTACAAATCAAATTACATTTTAGCGATTCAATATATACAAAACATTTCAAATCATTTGAACGTGTACACAATATAATTATAATTAAAACAAAATTTAACGAATAACACACTAAAAAGAATTATTCATCAATGAGAAATCTGCCGAAGAAGGGCAATCACGGTAAGTGCTTGCTTGAAAGCGTGATAGACCGGGGTGGAGATATCTTGATCATTCCTCGATTTGATCTTCCTTGTTCTGATCTTCCTTGCTTTGATCTTCCTTGCTTTGATCTTCCTTGCTTTGATATTCCTTCCTTCGATCTTTCCTGGTTCTATATAGAGCAGAAAATAACAACATTATGGTTCTCTATTTTATTTACTTGTCAATCTATAAAATTAGATTCAAAATTTGTGTTTGTGTGCAAGAGAGGGAGAAAGGAAATAGAACACTTTGCAAGCGCCTGAATTAGAAGGGGAAGATAAATTAAAGGGAACGCGCGCGCGCGCGTGTGTGTGTGCGTGTGTGTGTGTGTGTGTGTGGGTGTGGGTGTGTCTCTGTATGTGAGAGGGTTAGTGGGAGAAGAGAGAGATATAGAGAAAGGGGATTTAAACAAGGCCCTGTAACATTAAAATGCTTTGAATCAAATCTTTAGTATCTCCATCCTTTCTAAAAATTATTCGTCTTTACAAAGAATTTTTCAGTTCCGAAACATTAACTTGCTTGTAAAGATACGACAGATTGAAGGAAGTAACAAAAAAAATATGTGGGGGGGGGGGAGGGGAGGTACAATTGATTTTTAGTTTTTTATGTTATTCAATCGATTACACTCCAATCATATTACAAGTACTATTATATTTTATGAATCAAACATCTCCATTATTACAATGAAAAACTAATGTCTATCTACATGATCTACAAGCAAATGAGAAACTTACTTAAGTAGAAACATGATCATCATGGCGACTAGGATAATGATGCCGATGACAACGATAATGGTTATCGTCCCCTCCATCGGGAAGCCTGAGGAAACTAAATGAAAACAATGTTATTTGGATTGGAGCGCACAATAAGTCAACTCTAAAAATTCAGTAAGCCTTAAATGAAAATAATCACCTACGCACACTGGCACACAAACCCACAATTTTTCCTTATTTTTTTTTCCATCAATATCAAAACAATACAAATAATTCTCCAAAATACAATTCTTTTTCATCATAATAACAAAATTAGATAAACTTAATTTACTTGTACAATTCATAAATTACGATCAGAAAAACAAACTAGATTTGTAATACTTGTTTGGAACAAGTATAGGTGGGCTGGTCCAACTAAAATTTGAGACAAAATGAAGGGCACATTTGAGATATCTTATCGTCTCAGCTACAACAAACTCGAAGTACAGCGTAAACGAAGCTAAAACGACGTAGATATTGCTCGCGAAAGACGGGAATGTAGAATCGAGTTTTGAAAAAAAGTCATGTCCCATAGAGAATACACGCTAAATGTGAAAAATTGACATGCCTCCTTTAATCGCAAAAATACGCCATGATGCCTTTGTCAAAATAAAGAATAATTAGAACTGCATCTGTAGAAAATTGTCTCAGCTAGAACGTATCAAAATTTGGAAAAAAATCGATCAATATTTACAGAGATACAATCAATTTTCTATAAATATGCTGACGTCATAATATGCAAATTGGAATTTTGAGTTCGGAGGCCATTATGATGACGTCATGAGTTAATTGAGGATCAAATGAGACATGAACAAATATCTCCGAATCATACTCTATTAAAATATGAAAAAAATTGGCGTCACCTTGCATTCTAAAGAGCTACAATGTATTTTGTATAGGCATGTTTTTGCCCATATATGCTATGTATTACAAGAGCTCGCGCGCACGGAAATTTTGTTTAACGGTCGATCATTCCGTTTTTAATAGTCATAAAGAAACAACCATGGCATCTATTTGTTTGTAAAAATATGTAGAATATTATGAAGAAAAAAAAATGGCGATTCTATGTTGTGTAATAGTTTTACGCGCGAAAACGCGCGCGCATGTGCGTGTGCGCGATTTTTTATAAAATGCTTAAAATGGCCTCAAACGTATGCAAAATGATTTTGAGACGATTTTGAGCATTTTAAAATTTTGCGCGCGCATTGACGCGCGGACGTACGCGCACGCGCGCGTTCTTTGACCTGAAATTGACCGGACGGATATTGACCTTGATCATGATAAATATGAATGAGAAATAACTTTTGGTTATGAAGATATGATCATAAGTTGATTTTCGTAAAATTTTACAAAATGGCGCCTAGATGACGTCATCAGTAATGTTTAATGTTGAAAACGTTATTGTGCTTTGTACATATGCCTATACATATGTGTGCTAAATTTCAAGGCTTTTGATTGAGCCATTTTCAAGTTATCCTGCCAACAAAAAAGTGGTTAGAAATAAGAAAAATAAACTAGATTTGTAATACTTGTTTGGAACAAGTATAGGTGGGCTGATCCAACAAAAAATTGAGAGAAAATAAAGGGTTCATTTGAGATAGCTTTTCGTCTCAGCTACAACATACTCGAAGTTCAGCGAAAACGAAACTAAAACAACGTAGATATTGCTCGCGAAAGATGGGAATGTAGAATCAAGTTTTGAGAAAAAATCATGTCCCATAGAAAATACACGCAAAATGTGAAAAAGTGACTGATGCCTTTATCAAAATGATAAATGATTGAAACTACATTTGTAGAAAATTGTCTCAGCTAGAACATATCAAAATTTGGAAGAAAATCGATCAATATTTACAGAGATACAATCAATTTTCCATAAATATGCTGACTTCATAATATGCAAATTCGTATTTTGAGTTCCAAGGCCAATATGATGATGTCACGATACACTTAATGGCCAAATGAGAAATGAAATCATATCTCCGACTTATAATTTATCAGGATATTAAAAACAAATTGGGGTCACCTTGCATCCTAAAGAGCCACAATGGATTTTGTATAGGCATGTTTTTGCCCATATATGCTATGTATTACAAGAGCTCGCGCGCACAGAAATTTATGTTAAACGGTTGATCATTCCGTTATTAATAGTCATAAAGAAATAAACTTTGTATCAATTCGTTTGTAAAAATAGGTGCAATATTATTAAAGAAAAAAATGGCGATTCTATGTTGTGTAATAGTTTTACGCGCGAAAACGCGCGCGCATGCGCGCGTGCGCGATTTTTTATAAAATGCTTAGAATGGCCTGAAACGTATGCAAAATGATTTTGAGACGATTTTGAGCATTTCAAAATTTTGCGCGCGCATTGACGCGCGGACATACGCGCACGCGCGCGTTATTTGACCTCAAATTGACCGGACGGATATTGACCTTGATCATGATAAATATGAATGAGAAATGCCTTTTGGTTATGAAGATATGATCATGAGTTGATTTTCGTAAAATTTTACAAAATGGCGCCTAGATGACGTCATCAGTGAAGGTCAACGTTGAAAACGTTATTGTGCTTTGTACATATGCCTATACATATGTGTGCCAAATTTCAAGGCATTTGATTGAGCCATTTCCAAGTTATCTTGCCAACAAAAAAGTGGTTAGAAATAAGAAAAATATATAATAATAAATAAATAAATAAATAAATAAAGGCAATTCTAACGAAATTATAAGGTGGTCTGTACGTTATACAGCCCACCTGACTAGATTTGTAATACTTGTTTGGAACAAGTATAGGTGGGCTGATCCAACAAAAAATTGAGACAAAATAAAGGGTACATTTGAAATAGCTTTTTGTCTCAGCTACAACATATTCGGAGTTCAGCGTAAATGAAGCTAAAACGACGTAGATATTGCTCGCGAAAGACGGGAATGTAGAATCAAGTTTTGAGAAAAAGTCATGTCCCATAGAGAATACACGCAAAATGTGAAAAAATTAGCTTGCCTCCTTTAATCGCAAAAATACGCCATGATGCCTTTGTCAAAATGAAAAATTGTGACAACTGGATTTGTAGAGAATTGTCTCAGCTAGAACATATCAAAATTTTAAAGAAAATTAATCAATTTTTAGAAAGATACAATCAATTTTCCAAAAAAATGCTGACGTCATAATAGGCAAATTGAAATTTTGAGTTCGGAGGCCATTATGATGACGTCATGAGTTAATTGAGGGTCAAATGAGACATGAAATCATATCTCTGATTCATACTCGCTCAAAATATGAAAAAAAAATTGGGGTCACCTTGCATCCTAAAGAGCTATAATGGATTTTGCATAGGCATGTTTTTGCCCATATATGCTATGTATTACAAGAGCTCGCGCGCACTGAAATTTATGTTAAACGGTCGATTATTCAATTATTTATAGTCATAAAGAGACAAACATGGTATCAATTTGTTTGTAAGAATATGTGGAATATTATGAAAGAAAAAAAATGGCGATTCTATGGTGTCTAATAGTTTTACGCGCGAAAACGCGCGCGCATGCGCGTGTGCGCGATTTTTTAAAAAATGCTTAGAATGGCCTAAAACGTATGCAAAATGATTTTGAGACGATTTTGAGCATTTCAAAATTTTGCGCGCGCATTGACGCGCGGACGTACGCGCACGCGCGCGTTATTTGACCTGAAATTGACCGGACGGATATTGACCCTGATCATGATAAATATGAATCAGAAATATCTTTTGGTTATGAAGATATGATCAGGAGTTGATTTTCGTAAAATTTTACAAAATGGCGCCTAGATGACGTCATCAGTGAAGGTCAATGTTGAAAACGTTATTGTGCTTTGTACATATGCCTATACATATGTGTGCCAAATTTCAAATTATTTGATTGAGCCATTTCCAAGTTATCTTGCCAACAAAAAAGTGGTTAGAAATAAGAAAAATATATAATAAACTAGACATATAATACTTGTTTGGAACAAGTATAGGTGGGCTGGTCAACTAAAATTTGATACAAAATAGAGCAAAAATAAGCGAGATACTGCTAAAAACAATGTCATGTAGATTAATGATGTGAACGAAATGCACCTTCTATAGTCATAACACGCAAATTGTGAAATTTCTGACATGAGGCCTTTAATCGAAATTTTCACTCTGATGACGTCATCAAAATGAAAAATGATTATTATTGAACTTGTAGAAAATTATCTTAGCCACAACATATCGAAATTTTGAAGAAAATCGATCAATATATACAGAGATACAATCAATTTTACATAAATATGCTGACTTCATAATATGCAAATTCGTATTTTGAGTTCCAAGGCCATTATGATGATGTCACGATACACTTAATGGCAAAATGAGACATGTAATCATATCTCCGACTCATACTTTATCTAAATATGAGAAAAAAATGAAGGTCACGGTTCATTTCAAAGAGCTATAATGGATTTTGTATAGGCATGTTTTTGCCCATATATGCTATGTATTAAAAGAGCTCGCGCGCACGGACATTTATCTTGAATTGACGCTCATGTTGTTATTAATGGTCATAAAGAGATAAACATGGTATCAAATTCCTCGAAAAAATATGAGAAATATCATGAAGGAAAAAAAAATGGCGATTCTATGTTTTTTAATGGTGTTACGCGCGAAAACGCGCGCGCATGCTCGTACGCGCGATCTTTTATAAAATGCTTAAAATGACCTAAAACGTATGCAAAATAAATTTGAGATGATTTTGAACATTTAAAAAATTTGCGCGCGCATTGACGCGCGGACGTACGCGCACGCGCGCGTATTTTGACCTGAAATTAACCGGACTGATATTGACCTTGATCATGATAAATATGAATGAGAAATACCTTTTGGTTATGAAGATATGATCATGAATTGATTTTCCGAAAATTTCACAAAATGGCGCCTAGATGACGTCATCAGTCAAGGTCAAGGTTGAAAACTTTACCGTGTTTTGTCCATATGCCTATACATATGTGTGCCAAATATCAAAGCATTTGATAGAACCATTACAAAGTTATCTTGCTAACAAAAAAGTGGGTGGAAATAAGAAAAA